TCTTGCAGATGTATGGCAGATTATTTTTTCTCTGAACCTCCTAACATTTTACCATTTGAAGGGACTGGTATTGGCCATAAAAGTATAGTCAAATTAAAGGTTTTTTGCACAACCTATGCATAGAGTTTTTGTTATAAAATATTGTATCCTTCTCAAAACCAGTTTATCAGAATAAGAGTGAGTTACCGGGAACAAGTATGGCTGTCATGATGATAGTTTCCAGATTTGAAAAAAAGTCTCTGCCTACTAAAATCCTCAGTTCCTTTGCCTTGATAGCCCACCTCATCAAAACATTGCCAACAGGAGTGATTAGCAAATTATTGATACAGACAAGAGGGCCTATTCCCACATACATCCTCTTCAATCCTGTTAGCTTACTATGGTCATGGCATTTCAAACTTGGTGTATATGCCACAAGTTTTCCATTCCCCTGACTAATTACTTTGTAACAGTGTTTATATGAAGAGGAAATGGTTGGGTTGAAATATAATACAAAGACTTGCCAGTAGATAGTTTTATTAGTTTTTATTCAGTGTAACGTAGGGCTGGAAAATAAACTAATAAGAGCTCCGCTTTTAGGCTTGGCTAAATCTATATATTAGTCCATGCTCATCTCCCCAAATTAAAATAAGTAGTATTTGTGAGTGACATTCTGTTCGTTAACTGGTCAAATATGACAAAGTGGTATTGTTTATCCTTTTTTTATAACACCCCTTATCTGTAAAGCCTGCATTGAGCAGTCGATCTGTCCTCAACGGCCAACCTGCCATTCTCCGCGGATAACCGCTTAATACAGGTTCGACTATACACGTGAAGTGATTAACGCTACACCTTTTTATGGCGTACCGTGAAATTTGTATCATTTTCATTCATTCATACTGCCACCATTTCGAATTAGTTAACCCCTTCGCAATTTCCGAAAAAGCTAAAAATAAGAAACTTAAAAAGGAGCGCAAAGGTAGTAAACCTAATACAGTAGAAGCCCTAAGCGATGATGAGATCAATATCTCTAAGAGAAAAACCTCCTGGGACTTTTAAACTGAGGAGCATTGATAAACACACGATGGCTCCTCATTTTACCGCATTCTGGTCTACGAGGATGTGGAGAGCATTGGCAAATGTGCTGGGGAGACGTTCAGCTCATTAAAGATGAAGATGGAACTGAATATTCACATATTTCTGAAAGACAAACTAAAACCAGAAGTGGAGCTGATCTACGTAGTGTTCGACCGATCAAACCTTAAGCTTACGCGACTCCAGATTTACCGAGCAGAGATCTTATAAATAAAGACAAATTAAGTGATCGGCTTATAATTCCTTTAGCTTTCCACGTGAATCAGAGGGAAGTCCGAGACCTTGATTAAATACTCTGAGCAAGTGGTCAGTGAAATACCCAGAAATCTCTTAGGAATAACGAAAGAGTCAGATAAGACGAAATTTGTTCGTATTCCTTGATAAAATAAACTTAAAACTTGCGATTCATTGGTAACAATAATTCCGGGAGAAATTCTAGTGGCACATGTCATCGATTTCTGTAGTCTGGAGATATATCAATAATTTCAATACCGGAATATATCCATGAAGTTTACAAGAGAGAGTTACGGAACTTTCTGTATGAAGGAACATTTAAACGAGTTTTAGGATTAATGGAGATACGAAATTAAAAACAATAATAAATATAATAAAAAGATAGCAGTATTACTATTATAAATAGTAGTATTATTACCATTCTTAAAAGTAATAGTCCCAATAAAAATGTTTCGCCTACAAATCCTAAGCGCCTAAAAAAAAATCGAGAATTGATTTCTTTCTTATCGCCAAACTCTCAAATGTGCGAATCAACATTGCAGTTTTTAAACCTGCGTCGCGCCAGACCATGAGGCTAGAAGCCCTTCCTTGAATATTGACAGTATGGAAAAAGGTCTTGGCTTCCTGAAAGTTAATAATTCCTCATCAAATGATGAGACATACGTTAATTTGAACACTGCAAACTATTTAATCATATGCGGCAAGCATTCTTTATTGAATAACACAAAACTAAAATGGGAAATGGTTAAGATGGAGATTTAGAGCTCGACGATTCCATACTCTAAAAGCAGAGCTAGAAATGCACGAAACCTCGAAAAGCAATTACCTTTTTATCTATAATAACATTAAAAAGGAGGTTTCAAGCACGTTTGTGTAACAGTTTGTTTGCGTATCTGTTACATTTGTATATAAAATATGTCGATTAATATAAAATTCTAAAAAAAATAGTAGTAGCAATTGGTGTCAGTATGGAGGAGAGCAAATCAAATGAGAATATTTTGTTCAAGTTGTACGAATAGGCCAATCAGATGTCTGGAATTTTACATTCCATTCTCGTGCCATCTTTAAAACCGCTCAGGTACCTGAGCACTAGTTTGGAAAAATCACGAGATACAATTGGATGACATCATAGGATTTCTGTACATTATTCTTTACAATTATTGTTGTCCAGCTGTTTTTCAAGTTGTGTATTTCTGTTTTCTTGAGAGAGTTTCTCTTGTTTCCATTGTTCCTGTAGTTCGGAGAAGGATGCGATCAATTTGACTGTAGAGTCTTATATTTGCCACTTGTTTCTTAGTGGTTTCTGCACGAACGACGAGAGCGTTCATATCGTGTAGAATGTATCTTACATCATCTGTGATGGACTTGAGTTGCATGAGAAAGTTCTCACTTTGCTTGTTATTTTTTACCCTGCTGAGTTAGAAGTGATGTAAAAAGTTGCCTACGAACCTTTTATACGTTACAATTGTGAAAAGAGTATAAATTGATGTTCTCATCGTGTCATTTCAAATCGTTTCATCATGGCTGGACAAGTAGCATCGACTACATTGACGCCGAATGTAGATGGATATGAATCTACTCCGTTGGAAAGTGTGGGAGGTCTTTCAAAAGATGCTCAAACATTTATGAAAAAGGTGACTGAGTTGGAGAATCGATTCAAGAAAAAAAGAGGAGAAGCGGTAGAAAAACCAGAAGGAAAAATCCAAAAAGACAATGGTACATCGATACATTCAAATTGGGCAACTTTCTCAAAAAGCGAGGACCACGAGGGATTATTTTGAAAAAGAAAACGACCTTGAACAGTTTACTTTGTAGAATGAAGATTGAAATAACATACACAGGTACAGTTATGAATAAAAAGGTTTATTTCTGTTACAAAAACCTTGTTGTTTGTTTCACAATTTACAAAAGTGAATCAATATTTTTCAAGCAAATTATAATACATAAATCCTTTATTGCTACTTTTAACTTTTTTTTTCTTCTTTCCATTTGGATCCCAACTGGTCCACCCTTTAGCAGATCTCAATTGACGTACATCGTAACAGGTTTTGGGAGTGTTTTATTTTCTTAGTCTTCTTGAGGTTCTTGCTATAGCACTTTCTAAGTCTGGGGTATCGCCTTCTTCGAAAAATGGTAACTCACTCCAAGGAATGAAAGGTCCTGTAGTATTTTGCTTTTTACTTCTCGGTGGTTTTGTTGGCGCTGGTCTTTTCTTGATTGTAAGCGGTTCCTGTTTTTTGGGTGTGACACCGCTTAAGATCCTTTTGAGTAATTTTTGCTGTACTGGAGTGACTAGATCCTCATCTTCCTCTTTTAAGATCTTTTCCAATAGTTCAGGATCTGCTCCGCTGGAAAGGCAGCTGGGAGTTGCCTTTTTTTATGTACAAATTTATTGATGGATCGATCTGTTAATGGCTTGCTTTTTGCCACTATTCTAAATCTTAGGATTATTCAAGATACCGAGATTTCTACTCATAAGTTTAGCTGCTGTATCTAAAGTAGGATATTTAGTCCATCTTCCTTTGAAATAATTGACCACCTGAGGAACTGCTGCAGGAATCATGTACATTTTATTGGAAAGACATTTTTTTGCTTAATGACAACAGGTTTTGATTACGGTTGATAATCCATCTTCCAATTTTCTGACTTTGCATGGCTTGTCTTCTTTTTTTAAGCGGTACGGCTTTACTTCCAATACGTCCGAGGGTTGTTTGTAAAGTCTCAATATTTCCATCGTTACCGGACTCGCTGCCATGTTGTTTTTTTAGGTAGATTCAAGACTATTTCACTCACTGCATTCACTTGATCTTTGTTAGCATATTTGATTAAATATTTTCTTCTGTTGCTATTAGCCGTAGAAACAATAGCTTGTAAAAACAATCTTCGTCTTCGAATTCTGATCCTTTTTTCGGAGCATGGTTCCACCTTTTTAATATGGATTTGAGATTTCTTTTCCGTTTTTAAAATATCTAGTGTCTCCTCGCCCTTCGTATTCAGAACTAGCAGTAACACCTATTGATGTATGTTGTTTCCTGCGAGCAGCCTTTCTCTTTTTCTAATTAAAAGTCTTTGATTAATTTCTCTACCCAATAGTCTACCTACTGCAAACCTACCTGCAAACACAGCAAGAATAGCTGCAAGAGCTGGTAAAGATTCTCCTTTCTGCTTATTCATTTTTTACCCTTGTTAAGTGCTTAATCGACCTGATGTTCTTCCTACTTCTCTGATGGGTCTTCCCGTGTAAATCATTGGGTTTATTCATTGAGCTCGTACTTGATCACTTGCCAATACAAATAATCTCCTAGGTTGTCTTCTAATAGTGGGTGAAGGTATGAAAGGTACGGGGATGTGGATTTTGTGACACACCCGATCCTGCCAGTGTGGAAGTAGGCGGTTCTACAGACGGCGAACGTGCGTTGGAGGGTGACCCAAGCATAATTTCTTGAAAATTGAGTCCTGAAACATCTGTGGCTCGTGACAACAAATCTAATTCAGCTCGACTCATGATTAAAAAATTCGGTAATCCTATTACAGGATTATTCATCCTTGGTTTTTGTGTCTTTTATGATACGCGGTCGTATATCCTTCGTCTCGTGGTAGATTAGCTTTCAATCGTTCTTGATCGGATGAGTTTGGATTTAAACCAAACATTAAATACCCGTAAGGTCTCTCTGTGGCATCTCTATATACGTTCAGTACATCTTTGACCTGTTGGGTGAGATTGCGTACTCCCACTTGATCTCCGGGATTTTTAAAGGCATCGATTTAATGCGCATTCCTAGATTTGGTCTTTTCACATGTGGATGATGGTGATATTTCGATGATGGGAGTCTGGTGAAAAGGTCCAATATTCTTTGGTCGTTGCTTCCTTCATCCATCAAATCGTCTAAGACCATGATTCCACCCCGACTTTTTACATACCATTTGTCTGACAATTCGCTACTGGATATCCCTATGTAAAGTTGAATTCCTTGTTCTTTTTTCATTCTGGTAAATGTCGTAGGCTGACAGGCTTCATAACAGTATACAACCGGCTTGGTTGGTGGTAATAATTTATGGTTTCTTTCTTTTAACAATTTTTTTCTACATTGTCCCACTTGAACAAGGTCACAGTCTTACCTTCTCCCCAATGTTCTGGTTTGATCATACACTTACGTCTCCAATCTGCACAACCGGCTTTGATAAGTCTATGGTATCCTTCCACGTCCCTTTGATCGTTGTCTCTATTGATTTCCAGCGGTAGATACGGCTATTCTCCTCCTTCAACGAGTTGTTTGATACTAGTTAATTTAGCTTTTACAAAGTTGAATGGGTTTCTATAGTAGGCATTTTTAAAACAGCCCTGATGCATGAGTGCTACTACCACTCGGTCCGGCACCCTTCCATTAAACACATCTGTAGCTTCAGAGTTTGTGTGATTGACGGATAAGATGTAGGTCCTGATTTCAGATCATACCGTGGGATGATACACATCTAGGTCTCATGGTCACAATGTTTTTGTACACATCCGACCTAACTTTGACCAGACAAGCTAATAATATCATTTTCAAGTCTTCAGCCGGTAACCTGACATTAACTGTACCTTGTCCATTCGTGAAGAATTTCGGATCATTGGATGTAAACCTTATTTTCAAATCTACTACTGGAATGAGACACCGTCCTACTTTGAACAGATTGACTTGAGGCATACCGACTAGTTACATGGTATTTCCATCCACAACTCTGTCCTCCATGAGAAGAGAGTTCTCTACGGTCTCTTTTCGTTCTGCGTTTAGAGCTGTGTAGTGTGCGTGCGGTGTGGTTTTGTCAACGCTATTAGCTGTAAGTATTAGTGGGTGATCTAAGGTTGTGTAATCTCCCTGCGGTTTAAGGATGGTTTCCTCTCCTGTTCCATGATTCAGGATGGTTTCCAAGTAAGCTTTGTAGGCATACGTATCTGTCTGTTCGGTGATTAAGGCTCTGTTGACGTGACAGAAGGTTGTATGATGATTGCGTGAAACGCATTAGGAGCCAATAATCGGCTATCCGCATCTGCCAGACTTCCTCCATCTGTTTTCTTAAAGAATCCAGATATTCTCGACTGCCTGGGAATACAAATTCTATAGGGGTAATACTTTCACTGGTGCGATTGATTTCTGCTATTCTGTAACTGTTGTAAGTAATATTGGTAGGTGGAACCGTCAAACGATCGAGCCAATCATTACTAATCTCTTCTGATTTCGCATGAGCCGATGAGGCTTCACCCACTGCAAAAGTAACACTCATCTTTTGTGAAATGAACGGTTTCAAGAGAATCTCAGTCTTTTAAACTTCCCATGGCTTCCTTGTAAACCTTATTTCCCTACCAGTAACTCGCACTGCTCCAAATCCTCTATGCTTTGGATCCTTTTTGAAGGCAACTCCTTGATCAACTGCTTCCTCTACAAGTTCTTTGACTCCTCCTTCCAAATGTCTACTTCGACGCCTAGTTCTTCGGCGTCATCGTCTTCTCATTACAGTTCCACCTACTGATCCACCTCTTTGACCAGCTAGACGCATGAAATAACCTTGATTTGTAAATGGATTCGAGGGTTTGAGAATGGGAATATTCATGATTACCATTTTTTCTCCGTCTATTGTATAAAAATAAGTCTAACTGAACTGCTTTCTTTTTTGTACCTTGTAAGCCTTAATAGGTGAAAATGTCGGTTCTCCTTCTCTTTCTCCTCCCTTACCTTTTCTCTTCCTTTACCTTTTATCTCTTGATATTTCCTTTTACCATATCTTTCTAAAAATAGTAGCCCCTCTTTTTTTTTGTATACTTTATAGCCTCACTTTTGGCTCTTTTGAAGGCTTTTTCTGCATGAGGTCTGACCATTTTTAAACCACGTTTGAGGAGATCGCCAGATCCCTTCCTCTTTGGCCTTCAGGCGTGTAATATCTTAGTGCACCACCTCTTTTTTTTCTTTGAAATGGGATGACACGAAAAAACATAACCCTTATTTATAGTAGCAACAAGTGATTTATTTTTCCAACATCCATAAATCCAGTGGGTTAACCTTATAATTTTGTACAGCTTTTTTGGAAACAAGTTGGTTGGCGAACGATACTGTTCGTTGGCTTTCCACACAGTATTGAAAGAATAACCATTTTTCATGATTAATCTTCCAATATTTCGGAACCTTTACCAGTTTTTCATCAGGTACTTTTGCACGTGAGGCTCTTTGAGACTAGCCGTACTTTCAATGACATCCTGCAGCTGACGTTCCATCTTCTGAGCAGACCCCTGAAAATTCACCTTACTCGCGGCACTTCCATAGTAGCAGGAAGGTAGAATATTTCATCTGTAAGAAAGAGAAAACCTCCATCATGTTCCTTACTCGGGTAATGGCTCAAAGTCTGTTGGCTTCCCTGGTTCCGCTGCAGTGTTGAATTTGTTCATAATCTCTTCCCTGGGTAATGGGTTTAACCAACTTTCCTCTCACTTTCAACATGGTGGATGGATCCATGCCTAGAATTAAACTTTAAAAACGAGACTGTCTTCCTTCCAGCCTGGTCTTCCTTAAATCATCGAAAAAATAGTACTTATGATGAGGACAATTATCACTGGTCCAATTACATCCATTTGGAGGAGTGATGTTTGAAGTGTTGTTTGCGCCTATCTCGGCTAAATCCATAATGAATGATGATGTAGGTTCCATTGCTTCATTTTATTTATAACCCCGGCAATACATGTTAATTTGATTGACTGCGTCTTTTAAACTTGACTGTCAAAATGGTCTCTCCACGATTAAATTCTGTTTGTCTACTGTCTGTCTCGCTGATTCCTAATTCCACTGTGTCAAATTTACTTCTTCAGATAGGAATGTATTCTAATTGACGTTGCTCAAACTGTGTTCTTCCTTTAAGCAAATTGTTGAAATCACTTCTTTTAACAAATCTTTCTTTGTATCACCCACAATTTGTGTTTGTACCAGATCTGTATAGACATAGAGAGTTCTATTAGGTTCAACAAACTTTACAAATAATGCCTCGTAAAGTTTAGCAAAATATCTATTGACATACGAATAAAATCGTATATATTTTACGTTTCCACAATTGGTAATGGGTTCACACTCTATGATATCCCACATTTTTGACATCTTATTATTTGACCCAGTCTTTAGGGTATGCTCTCCAAAATGTTCGTATCTGACAGCACCAGTCAATGTGGAAAAAGTTTTATCTTGATATTCAGTTTCTTCTATGAGCTTGAACGATTTGACAAGTTTAAAATCAATATCTACATAACTGCCTTGTAAAAATTCCAAAGTTAGTTGTTCTAAAGATTTGACCGTCTTTGTCTTTTTCTGGTGCAAACATATCAGTGTATCTTATTCCCTCGCTGTCGATCTTTAGATGATGATTCAAGCAGTGGATTCATTCAAGCAGTGGATGTTTTTTCTGATGAAGAAAATCATGATCGATCCATTCAGTTACTCTCACTGCAAATTTTGCGTACATTTCTTTCTAAATTTCGCGAATCATTCGGTCCCAAAAAACTTATCTGTTTTATAATGACTTGGGAAAATAATTTTAGCAAGTCTTCATGTCCTTACGATAGATTGGATGCCTTGTTAGTACATCATCTCCATTTTCTCCTTTTTTATTGGTGCACCACCTTGAGAATAATCTCTCACTGGTGTTTGTTGTCCATTTTCGTCTAGTATTTTGACCAACATATCCACTGACAACACTACGGGGTATTTAGATTGAATGTTAAGAGATCCTCTATGACTGACCAAATCCGGAAACGAAATAGTAGCCAAGGCCACTTCCCAACGTCTCCGAGTAAAAACATCTCTTTTGCTAATTTGACTATGTAACTTCTGGGATTGCTGTTGGGGTAAGTGATAGAACTTGATCCGTCTGGTAGTTTCAAGTAAAAACTCATGATTAGACTGCTTGAACAAAACCAAATGACATCAAAAACTTTCTATGTCTTTTTTATTTACTTTTGACTTCGTCTTTTAGAACAAAATGCGACAATCTGGATTCGTAAAAACAGTTTGTTTCACTGATACCCACTTCCACAGTATCAAACTATTTTTTCTGAGAGTAATGAATTGTAAATGTTTGGGTTCGCATTGGTTTCTTCCATGTCTTCCGTCACACAGTACTTCTCTTAACAAATCCATTTCTGTGTTTCCAACGATTTGAGTCCGTACTAAATCTGTGTACAAGCACAACCGTCTATTTTAATGGCTCGGTGATGGTTTTCGGAAGAATTGATTAAGTTTTGAAAGGTACCAGTTCACGAAAGAAAACATTCATAAAACCTTGCGTGACTTACCACTGTGTGTGAGTGATACAATTTCCCACAGTTTACCTTTAAAATTTACCATATGTTGATCGCTTGTGGGATCTTTAAAATGATCGCTTTCCATCAAACTGGATAATATGTAACCACCATCAGTACCAATAACACTACCATCTGCCTCGGGTAATATATAGATTTAGCCAAGCCTAAAAGTGGAGCTCGCATTTTTTTCCCGCATGTCTCGTCAACAAAACTAAAGCTCCTACTATAGATAACGTGCGTATATTAATAGAGTTTCATTCTCAATTTCTCCGCGTTCAAGTAGAGAACTAATTCTACTATAAATGCTATAGGGTTAAATTTTTAAGTCAATAGGCAATTTTTGGGGTCTCCATAAAAATACTTGCAGCGAGAGGTTGAAAATTTTCAAAAACAGGAAAGAAAATTGTGCAAACCGTTAAAAAGGTTTCCCAACAATATGGAACAAGAAAATGAAATTATTCTTGAACCCAGAGTCTCCTCAGCTGTGTACAAGTGTTGTGCACACGTTACGCTCAAACGTCCGCTGAACAAGAGTAAACCTCTGGCGTTGACGTGCCCGCGGTACAGTTGGCCGCACATACTACCTTTGCTGCGAGCTCCGCTGTTACCAAACTAAACGCTTTGGTCAATTCTAAATTTATGAACACACGGTTTTCATACATGTTACGACCATCTCCGGTAACTCCTCCATTGTCAATATGCAATTTAGACCTACCCAGGACACTCTGCCAAACAAATGTTTAAAATTTAGGTTTTTTAGCTTTAAACTCTTTGTCTATTTCGATCCAATCACGAGTATTTTGAGCCATATCTAAAAAGAGTTTACTATTCTACAGTGAGATACGTCTATTCCAATATGCGATGCCATCTTTGGGTTTTTCCAAACGGAGTTGTTCATACTAAAATTCTTTTCTTGTTATCCAATCCTAGTGGTAGGACTCAACGAATGTGGTAAAGAGATATTAGCTAAAACCACTTCCCTGTCGTCTTCGGGTAAAAATATTTCCTTGACTTACTTGACTTTGTAATGTCCGGAATTATTGTCGGGAAATGTCACAGAACTTGAATTACTCGGTAAAGTGAGGTAACCCATGCCAGTTCGACTCATTTTTTTGTTGATGTCATAGATATCTTTCTGATCTGTTCTACTGTTGTACTTAGCAGGCCAACCTTTTCCAACTGACTAAAGCTTTTCCGTCTTTTTTCTTTAATACTTTTTCGATTCGGAAAAAGGTGTAATCGTTTAAATTGACTTTTTTGTATTTCTTCGTAAAACGTACCTTTGACTGGTGTACCGTCACAACCTTTTGATCTTATAAGTTGGAACAAAGGAATCCAAATTCCTGTCTACAATAAAAATTTCTTCTGCCCATCTTGGTAAATAACCTTTTTTAAAAGTTCTTGGGACTTTACTTAACATGGACCTTATCACCAACATTCAGTTGATGTTCTCTGACTTTCTTGCTGTTAGCTTTTCCAAACAATTTTCACCATACAATCTCTTATAGATTTTTCCATTGTCGTAAAGGTTGACATCTTTAGGTGCTATTCCTATAGCTCGATGAACCGAAGCATTCTAAACTTTGACAATATCGGGTAAAAAATGCAAATATTTTCAAGTAGCATTGACTGTGTAGAGTGTAGATTAAATTTTTTTGTATAGTAGTTTTAAATTTCTTCATGGGTACGTCCGTGGCTTTGTGCAGTCGTTGCAATCCACCATAACTTTCAGGATTTTAAAAATCATAGTAAGTCTTAAACAAAATACGCTCTAATTTCTTTTGATTATCAAACTGTCTTTTCTTTTTCTTGTTCATTCCCATGATTTTGTCTACGAGATAATTTTGCTACAACATCGAATGAAGAGAGCTACTTTCAGAAGTGAATGTGGGTACATTGGACGCGTGATAATTAAATACCCAGTTTTCTTGTTCTTCAAAGTCCGCTTCGGGAAGATTATTCCTCATACACTCCATATGAATGATGAACCGACCGATTTTCCATTCTACATCTATCTCGCTGGTAAGATAGACAAATACTTCATCAGCATCACCTTTACCATTCACTTTTTTAAAGAACGATGGGTAAAAACTTCTTTTTTCTAAGGTTTACATTCCTCTGTAAATGCGTCGCCACAACCATTCTTTTCCTAACCGTTCTATCTTCAAACTGAAAGATGTGAAAGCAATGCATTACATATATAGAATAGAATAGCGTATAAATAGAGTTGATAAAATCAATATTTATTCATCTCATTCGCGTGTTATCCAGAAACAATGAGTGAAACCTATTTTTCTTGCAATAAAAAGCTAAAATTTTGAGAGGAAATCAAAAACAATTACTGGAAAAAATATTGGGTGGTTGCAGTTTTGAAAGTCATTTACAAAAGGAAAGACAACCTACTACGCAGTCCTTTTTTTTCATTAGAAAGACTCCGATATGTAGATGAGATGAGTTACAAGCTCGACAAAGGATTGCAAGAAACAAAATGTAATGAGATCTACGTTGAATGGATGAAAATCCTGGCAGAACAAGGTGTATACAATCCAATATGGAATTACGAGGACATGCGACTTGTAAGGAATATCATTTCGCGAAGTCAAATGAGTGAGATGCTATTGGAGGAACTGCTGCCATTCAGAACAAAAGAATTGGCTTTCACCTATGAGATTCTTGGATTTACACGTCGAGACATTGACATGTTCTTTGATTGGCTACGAATAATACCTGACGAAAGATTCATGGACGGCTTGGATGAACCTGATGGTGGCGTAAGCATATAACCTCGATAAAAAACGAGTCACCTCACTTTTTTCTCCTCGTTTTTATCCAAGATGTGGTCAAATAAACAAGATTATTATCCTTTACAAAAAATGGTGGACGATGTACCTTCTATAGATAAAAAGAGGCACAAAAAAGAAAAGAAACATAAAAGAGAAAGTAAAGTGGAGATGCCATCTTTAGCAACTACTGTAAATACCCAGACGAGTCCTGACTTCACACCAGAGGAATTGCTGACTGAACTAGGATTCGACTTGTCACGGACAGCCCGTACAGCCACTTCAATCAGCGCAGTGGATGAAAAAAAAACCGATCTAAATGTTTGTCTCTTTCTTCGATGCAACCTGGCTGAATTCCATGCACAATCCAACATGGATTGGTACATTAAATATCCCAAGTCGCCCTGTGGATTGTTCTCGCACAAAGGTTATTTTCAATCTTACATGGAAGCCCTTATCAAAAAGGTCCATACGGTGTACAGAAAATTGCACGGTAAAACCATGTGTGAACGTAATAGTCAAGAATCCCTTAAAGTGAGCAGGTCGCAGTTCAACCCTGGAGGACCTTACTTTTTCCGTCGCGATTATGGAGGATGTAGTTTCTTTCAGTGGGCAGACGTATGCCTTACCAAGAAAAACGAACAGCTACAACAAAGTTTCCAGGGATATGTAGCATAAAAAAGACAGGAACAACATTTTATTTTTTTAATCAAAATAAGAATTACATTTTATTTCAAAGACAAATCTTTTTAATAGTTGTAGTGTTGAAATTACATCTTTAAACCTGTGATAATTATCATTGATTTTCTTCAAACAATACTTTAAAGTTTTCAACACTAGATCCAAATAAGAATCTTTGAGCTTTCAGTGGTTTATGAGCGTCAATACAAAATACAGGATACATTTTATAAGAGACTGACACATCATCAAATTACCTTCAATACATTGAACCACACTGTAAAATGTCTTGGATTGAACAAAGTGATAAAACTTCAGCATTGCAGGATACGGACGCCAATTCTCTTCGTCTTCCATCACCTGGTACACCATTTGTATAGCCATAGTCACATCTTTTCTCTGATGAAAATTCTTCAAGATTTTGAATTCTTGCAGAATGAAGCCAGTTCCTTCGTCAAAATCTGGATTGAAGACAACTGTTTCGTCCATGTTATATTCCTCTCTTGTCGTCTCCACAACGCGATTTCAACCGTTTTCTTTCAAAAGTAGAAAAACCAGTATTCTTTGAGACATTTTTCCTTCTATATGATTACTAATAAGCTGCCTTTTTTTTTGACGAAGTGTAAATAGGCGTCAGGAAGTAAGCCGCCATCATCACGAGTTAAGGGAGCGTGGGCGGAGTTTATATGCCAAGGTTCCAAACAAAGGAGCTGGTGGTAACGCCGATTAGTGGTGATAATTTTAGAATTATCCCACCCGATTGTATGATTAGTTAGGCATGTGTGCTCCGATAAAGCTTAATTTTCTTTCTTGCAAAAGAAAACCGCTTTTTGATGCTCTTTCAAACGTGTACCAAACTGACGTTTGGTACACGTTTGAGTACATCGGACAGATGTATTCAAAGACAACCTCTTTTTGCAGCGTTTAAATCACCCTTGATGAAGGCACTAGACAGGAGTGTCGAAACGTTTGGGTCTATTAATTGTAGCCTCTTCGGTTACATTTCTCAAATCTGTAAACCAGAGTAGTATCAAACCATGTCTATTTGAAATTGTACTCTCCGGGTATCAATTTATCGTGGTCTCTGCAAAACGCGGACATACCATTGTGCATAAAGGACCGGAAAGTGAAAAACACATCATATTGTTAAAGCACGATGGACAGTACGATGTCTTTACCAAACTACCTGTTTTTTTTAATTCGTGCTATTTTTGTCTCGAATGTGAAAAAGCGCACTCGACAGAAGACTTTTCTCATCACAAATGTAAACAAACAAAACGTCGTTCCTGCTGTAAGAGAAACTATCCACACTACAAAATTTTTAAAAATGAAGACAAGCCTGAATTACCCTGCCATAATTGTGGGAGGAGATTCTTTTGAATCACATGGCAAGTCCATCATCAATTGTACAGAGTCAATAGACAAAGGATAGCCTAAAGTGAAAACAGTGTGTGCAAGACTTAAAAACAATGTTTAGAGCGTAAAGAGTCTTTCCATCCTCTCCAGAACATATAAAACATTGTGGACTGCAAATATGTCCGAGCTGTGAAAAAGAAGTCAACATTACACAACACAAATGTTATTTGCAACAAATCAAGCACGAAAAGAAGAAGAAGAAACAACGAGAAAATGCGGAAGTAAAAGATCATCTAGTGTTTGTCTACTTTGATGTTGAGGCACGAGAAGACACTGCTAATCATATTGCCAATCTATTATGCACAGAGACTGATCAAAAGGATGTACAATTTACTTCTTGGGGTGAAAGCTGTGCTGAGGAACTCATAAGATGGATTCAAAAAGGTGTGAAGGCGCTGTCATGGCTGCCAATGCTCGTACATTTCTTAGTTTGTTACTCATTTATGCCGTCAGCAATGTATATTTTCAGACGAAAACTAGCGAAACGAACAACTCTCCCACTGCTCCAAGAATTGCTATCCGCGAACGAAACTTAGAATACTTTGCTGTTGTGTTATACCGGTGCGGCAAGTCAAAGTTACAGTTAACTTCGACGGGTTACCACAAACTGCCAGTGGCTGCGATTCGATGGGGAAAGAGAGG